GCTGAACTAATGCAGAGCGCATGGAAGAAGAACGATCGACAAACAGGAATTTAATAGCATTGATATTGTTAGGATCGGCTCAAACTGTAAGGCTGTTTGTTTTTCCCATTTTAGAGGCCTCCCCAACGAAACGAACCAGATGTCACGGCTTAAAGCTAAGTTAACGGAAGTTTAAAATGTAAGGGTAAAGAAGACATATGGAAAGTAGGGTTCCACCTTTCAACAACAATGTACAACATCCTACTCCACAAGTGTGTTGACACATATCAGGGGTGCCAACCTCTATTCATAGTTATAATGTTTTTAGATTTTAGATAACCAAACATATGATTCTACTTTTTGATAAATACTACTCCGTACTCCGTTTGTTCTAGCCTTAGTGATAAAACAATGTACTTTTGAGGGAACAGAATTACTAAGAAGATAATTAAGTATACATTGAGGATGGTAAATACTACGTATAGTTTTGGAAAACTCAGCTCTCGCACGTGAACAAGCAATTATGTCTTAAAATTAGTTTGACTGCATGTGTCGTACTAATGACAAATTTTATTGAGTACAACATTATCATACCTTCAAGAAGATCCAAAATTAATTACTGATCATTAATGCGTATACGAAGGGCGTGTTTGGAAGAATAATATAATATAATTGATCGAACTCCTTCGTCCAATGAAAAATAGTCAACACATGTTATTGCCTTATTGGTGGTGATTTGGTCATAGAGAAGTCCTGACCTAACTTAGCTAGCGAGCCCCGAATTAAAAAAAACAAACAAAAAAGATGGCACCCTATCCTAGAGGCGGATGTGGGGAGATGGGAAAAAAGTAGGTGGTACAGCTAATGATAAAAAATGAATATTTTTTAAAAGTGCCATAACCTTTTTTTTATTTGTATTTCAATTTTTATAAAAAGTATACCAAATTTATATTTTTTATGATCTTTCATATGAGATCCATATAGCATATATAAAAAAAGGATTTGATTAAAAAATATGTTAGGTGAATATATTGACGATATTGGACTGCAGAGAAAAACTGAATTGACAGAGTGAATACGTAATTTTACTCATACTTTACAGATATAAGGCGTATTTGGCATTTAGAGGATAGCGGATTATGATAGCGAGTTGTGAATATCATATTCAGTCAACAGGTTTCACTTGCAGTGTTAGATAGGGCGTGTAACTACGTATACACATTAATGATCACCAATTACTTCACGAGAGTTTGCAAAAACTATACGTAGTATTTCATCCTCAATGTTCGCCTAATTACCCTTTTTGTAATTGTGTTCCCTCAAAAGTACATTGCTTTATCACTAAGGCTAAAACTATACATGAAATACGGAGTAGTATTTTTCGAAAAGTAGAATCATATGTTTGGTTTTACTTAAATAAATCTAAACATTATATTTCTATCTTAATTTAATTAATATAGTTAATTGCGCACTAGTTCCACAAAAACAATGTCAATCTTACAACATTATAATTGCGCACTGTTTTTGGATTAAAATTTTTAAAAATGGCAATTTCTACATTGTTTTTTTTTGTTGCAAAACAACAAATTACCGAACTGTTATGGCAACCCGCCAACTTACTCTGTTATTAAAACCTGTTGACTGAATATGCTATTGACAACTCGCTAACATAATCCGCTAAATGCCAAACACGGCTTATATCTGTAATAGTGACTCTTCAGAAATAGTTACTCTACCCAATATTATATACATAGTACCTTTTGATTTTTTTTTCTATTAGCACTCTAGTAATATCATGCGCTGATTTACGAATAGTTAAAATAAGAAAAGTAGGAGTTATTTTACTAGCTCAATTACTATAGGAGGTTATAAAAAAGGTTATTTTAACTATTTATTCGTTTAATTGTTTCTTTAATCTAGACATAAAATATATTTCAAATTTAATATTTCCTATAATTCAGAAGATTTAATTAATTAAGCAGCTCCAGCTAGCATTTCAAGAATTTCGGAAGTTTCCATCATCCGATTTGGCTAATTTTATTGTTTACAAATAGGCTCTTAGTTACAAGACTCGTTCAAATATCAAGTTCTAAATTTTAGGAAACTAATTTTAAATACATATTTGAGTAAACAAAAACTACAATTTAATGAGCATTACATGTTGCAAGTGTGTGGTTGCAAGTGTAAAGTAACTAAGTAATGCATTTTTTTAAAGAAGCTACGTAGTGATTAATTTTTGAAAGTTAATGCAATTAAGTTTTGGATCTTCAAGTAAGTATTGATTAATGTTTTCTTTTTGTAGTAGTCATCATATCTACGTCATTCAAGTAGTAGATTTGACTAAAGGAATGACAAAATATATTAAGTCAACCATTTTCATACATACATGAGGATCCAAAAGTTAATCGTTCATTAATGTACTATGTAATTCTGTAAAAAAAATGCATTTCGTAGTTACTTTATACTTGCAACCACACACTTGCAACACGTAATGCTCATTAAATTGTAGTTTTTGTTTACTAAAATATGTATTTAAAATTAGTTACCAAATTCTGATCTCGATATTAAAAAAAATATTGTAACTATGAGATCATTTCGTAACAATGAAATTGGTCAAATCGGCCGATCGTATCTGTTGAAATTCATGAGATGCTAGATGCAACTATTTTTTTTGAAAGATCTAGATGCAACTGTTGAATTGGCTGAATCTGCTGAATAATGAGAAAAATTATATTCATAATACATTTTATGTATAGCTTAAAGAAAAAATTAGACAAAAAATAGTTAAAATGGCCTTATGTATACATAGTAATTCAGCTAGGAAAGTAACTCCTACCTTACTTATTTCAACTATTACTTAAATCAACGTTTGATATTATTAGAGTGCTGATAGTAAAATATGAGAAAGTACTTTGTACATAATATTAGAGTGAATATTGTTTAATTTGGGCAGAGTAACTATTTTTAAAGAATCACTATTACAGTAATATTACATATATCGGTCGTGTTTGGCATTTAGTGGACAACGGATTATGTTAACGGGTTGTCAATAGCATATTCAGCTAGTGGGTTTCACTAGCGGAGGAAGTTGGCGGGTTGCCAGAAGATGTCCGGTCCTTTAGTTGCCAAAAAAAAAATATAAGTAGAAAGCGCCATTTTTAAAAACCCTAACTCAAAACACTCATATTTGCAGCATTTCCATTGCGGCGGTTTCGTCCAAAAAATACTAAGGGCGAACAACTATTCATCAAACAACGTTTTCATTTATAATCTTTTAAGATTGACATCGTTTATGTGGAACTAGTGCGCAATTAATTATATTAATTAAATTAAGATATAAATATAATGTTTAGTCTTATTTAAGTAGAAACAAACATATGATTCTACTTTTAGATAAATACTACTCCGTACTCTGTTTGTTCTGGCCTTAGTGATACAACAATGTACTTTTGAGGGAACACAATTACTAAGAAGATAATTAAGCATACATTGAGGATGGTAAATACTACGTATAGTTTTAGCAAACTCTCGCGAACAAGCAATTCTGTCTTCAAATTAGTTTGACTGCATGTGTCATACTAATGACAAAATTTATTGAGTACAACATTATCATACCTTCAATAGGATCTGAAATTAATTGCTGATCATTAATGCGCATACGTAGGGCGCGTTTGGAAGAAGAATATAATATAATTGATCGAACTCCTTCGTCCAATGAAAAATAGTCAACGCATGTTATTGGCCTTATTGGTGGTGACTGGGCCATAGAGAAGTCCTGACCTAACTTAGCTAGCGAGCCCCGAAAAAAAAATGACACCCTATCCTAGGGCAAATGTGGTCAGATAGGAAAAAAGTAGGTGGTAGAGCTAATGATAAAAATGAATATTTTTTAAAAGTGACATAACTTTTTTTATTTGTATTTCAATTTTTATAAGAATCATATTAAATTTTATATTTTTTATGATGTTTCGTATGAGATCCATAAAGCATATATAAAAGTAATGATTTAATTAAAAAAAATATGTTAGGTGAATATATTGACGGTATGGGATTGCAGAGAAAAATTGAATTGACAGAGTGAGTATGTAATTTTACTCATACTTTATAGATTTGGCGTGTTTGGCATTTAGCGGATAGCGGATCATGACAGCGAGTTGGGAATAGCATATTCAATCAACAGGTTTCACTAGGAGAGTATGTTGGCGGGTTGCCATAAGCGTTCAGTACTTTCTTGTTTTGCAAAAAAAAAAACACTGTAACTACGCAAGTGTGGTTGCAAGTGTAAAGTAACTACGCAATGCATTTTTTTAAAGAAGAGCTACGTAATATTGCAAATATATGGCGTGTTTAGTATTTAGCGGATAACAGTTTATGTGAACGGGTTGTTTTGGATTTCATTAACGAAGTTGCCAATGTATTTGTTTTGCCAAAAAAATTGTAGCATGCGTCATATTTCAAAATCTATCTCAAAACACTCATGTTTGCGACATTTCCTTTGGAGTGGTTCCGTCCAAAAACAACGAATTCAATTATTGAAAATGTAAACTGCTTTGTTTTTCATATGAGCCATTTTCCAAACAGCTCCATAATAAGAGAGAATAAGATAAAAAAATGCAGCTCAGTATATAAACCTCTCCGTTTTCCCACTGAGACGTCTCAGAGTGCATGCACAGTCTCTTCTTACTTCTCAGTACACTAACTAGTTCCGGTAAAATTCTCGCCCAATCTCCCTCTGTCAAGTGCATAAAACGGAAGCTTCTACTTCTATATATATGGAGTTCTAAGTCTCTAACCTTTAAGCATTTCACTTAGGCAAACTGCTAAGGAGAAAAGGCATACCAAAGCTTCAATTCCGTAGCATTTGAGTGCGTATGTGTGCAATTCAGTGCCTTTTTAGTGATTTTCATGTGTCTCTACTAAAAATTTATGATCTAAATTGTCCTGCCCAAAATGATTCTATCTCTTTATGTTGATTATTGTTTATATTCTAATTTCTTTTAGTACAGTTTCAGCCGAAGAAATGACTATGGAGGAGATTTTGAAGATAAAGGTAATGACTCCCTGCTGGATAAAGAAAAGAAGGCTAATGAATATGTTTGGAGTTCATTTTGTTTGGTGTTTCATCGAATCTCCTCCAACTTTTGATTATCAATTCCAATGATACATACATTTTCATGATCATACAAAACCTAATCTATGCTTACTTATTGCTAATTGCCAATTTGGCGTGCAGATTTTCGTGATCATAGTTGGCATGTACTGTAACGGCTGCAGAGATAAAGTAATGAAGATACTGAAAAAAATTGATGGTATGCTACTATGCTCATTCACACACACCAAATATATGTACCAGTACTACTTTCTTGCAAAAAAGATCCAATTTTTACCAAATCAAAGTGAAGATTTCTATTTTGAAAAGTTTTCTCATCTCATCTTTGATTCAATACTGCAATTTTTTGTGTTCCCTGCAGGTGTGTACACTGTTAAAATGGAAGAAGGATCAAACAGTGTTACCATAGGTGGGGATGTGGATCCTGCAGTGGTGATTGCAAAATTAGGAAAGCGTGGCAAGAAAGCCCAACTAGCAGCTGCAGCAGGTTCTCTTGCCAGTAACAAAGATGATGCCAGTGGTGTTAGCAGTACGGTGGGGAAGCAAACGAAAATGGTACAGCAACTCCAACCGCAGCCTCCACCGCAACTACCCAAAGCTGGAGATCTGCCACCGCTTCAGAAATCTCCACAGCAGGTGATGAAGGCTCCCCAATCCACTTCTACTATACCTTTCCCCTGTCCTTCCGTGCCCACACTTCAAAAAAGTTCTGAGCCTGCCACAGATCGTGGTGCTGCGGGCAGCAGCAATGGCGTTAGTAGTGAGATAGAGAAACAAATGAAAAAGGTACGGCAGCTGCTACTACCGCAGCCACTGCCACCCAAAGGCGAAGATCTCCCATTGCTTCAGAAATCTCCAGAGTGGGTGATGAAGGCTCCCCAATGCACTTCTTCTGGTGTAGGTGCTCCCAACCCAAACCCAGCCCAAGAGTCTCTCAAACTCGACTTGCCTGGGGATTGTGGAAGGACCAAGCCCATCCCCTGTCCATCCATGCCCCCACTTCGAAAACGTTTTGTGCCCGCCACTGATTGTGGTGCTGCGGGTCAGACTCTGATTGGGAATGGATCACAGCATGCTAGCGGTATCACCATTGGAGCTTCGGGGGGTGGTGGTTCGGTTCCAGTAGCGAGTACAGCTCAGGGGCAAATTCCGATGGGCAAAAGGGCTCAAATGAGAAATATCCCTATGGCCTGCGTTCCTCCTCCCCCACCAGCCCTACCACCATCTAGTGGCGGTTGTGCAAAGCGTCTGGGAGATTCTGCCGGAAACCCTCACCTGCCTAAAGCAGGAGATATGGGTCCTAAAGGGGAAGAAGGCAAAGGCAGTGGACACTTCCAAGGAGTGTATGGCATTGGGTGGTATAACCAAGAAGTGGCCACACCTCCCCATGTTTATGATGTGCCTCCTCTGGAAGCTTCGTCTTTCTCCAACAGCCATCCTCTCTACCATAAACCAGATCCTTACTATTCATATTTTAGTGATGAGAACGCTACTAATTGTTATGTTATGTGAACGATCTCATCATGAAGTTTGTATTTGCTGGTTTGATGAACATGTTTTGTGTGTGTGAGTGTGTGTTTCTGCTTTTATCTTATATGTTGGATCATTTAGCCTGAATAATGCTAGCTTGTTATTAATGGAAAATGAAACTCATTGAATACTGAAGATGTTGAATGTGGGTTTAGGTGTTATTTGCTGCTTAGAAATTTAATATACCTCCACATCAGATGTTTTCAGGCAAATAGTGGATAAAGGCATGGTTTATAATTCAACAAGCTAAGGGTGGTTATTCTATTAGAGGATCTAGCCAGCTGTTGATTACTAATGGGTTCTAGAAGGGTAGTAATAGCATGTTTTGCTTGATTACTACCAGTGACCTATCAGATGTCCTTGGTTTAAATTTCTTATCACTATATATTCAAGTAGTGTGGTTGACCACTTGAGTATGATCATGTCGGTTTGCTTTAATATAGGTGAAACCACAAGCTAAACTATATGATTAAGATGATGATTCTATGTGGTACAGTGGTAGATACTAGGTTATAGGAACTCAACCAGTAACTTCATAGCTTCAAAATCGACACAGTTCATTTACTGAATTACTACGTTTGAGTACAATAAAGACCATTTGTTAAACTACTATATATGGTCTCTGGTGACATTATGGTTTTATTTGGTGTGCATTAGTTAGCTAGAGTCGCACCAAACAAGGGGTTTTAGTTGCAATACAAGCTGAAGGTTCAGTCTGTACAAGGAATGAAACACGGATAGAGTGAAATTTAACCATCTAACATAACAATCTAATGTCATATAGAGAATGCACGAGTATCAATTTGTTTCAGGAGAATGTAATATTCATACTCCGTACCTAGTATGTCGTAGAGTTTTTGCCACTTTCCATCCACGACTATTTTCCCACAAGCTAAATATTCATGCATATGCAAAATAAGACAAAAACTCTTCAACCCCAACAATACTTTCTTCATTAAGTACACAGTATAATTAAATTTATAACTCTCCATTTTTCAATAAAGATACTCGAAATGTCTAGACATTTTAAAGTAGTTCCATCACAAATATATTATCAAGTACTCTTAGCTTGGATGGTTTGAGGCCACATGCACAGAAGATGAGTAGTGAGTGTAAAATGTGATTTCAATTTGGACTTTAATGGTTTTCTTGATTAAAATTGATCCCTTTAAAAGTTTAACTACTTTGGTCGGGTTTTCATTGGTGAGAAAAACAATAAGTGTATATTGTAGATGAGTTTTCTTTTATAACAAGAGCATTTGACGCATGACTGCCAAAAGTTTCTGAACTTCAAAATATCATCTTGATGCCAAAAATGCCATTTTATCCACAACATAAAAATTACTACGTAAATATGTATGCCACCGTGAACAAAAATGGAACACAACATTGGCAGTTTTATTCACAATATTTGGCATTTTTTTTGGAATAAACGCCATGGTGAGTTCATAATCAGATTTCCCAAAATTTGAAAAATCAAAATCTTCCAAATCCAAAATTTCACTAATTTGGGGGGAAGAAATCAGATTTGAAAGGGGGGGGGGGGGGGGGTTGGAGGAGGGGGGTGGTGGTGATGAACTTGAAATCTGTGCAAAAACCGAAAGCCATGTCATAGATGATGGAGTCGATGACGGTAAGAGCGGTAGTGACGAAGTCAACATGAGGGGGCGGCAAGACCATTGTCACACCGAGAGAAAGAGGCGGTGGGAGAGAGGCGCATCACTGAGAAAGAGCGATCCCTATGTCATACATTCGCTGTATTTACTCCCTGCCCAACTGAAAAGACAGCTCAATAATTGATATTACCTCCACTTCAAATTGATTTACAAATTTGATTTTATTTTAATCAAACAATTTTGTTTTGTTCGCTTAATTAGGATATCAATTTCTAATTATATTCTAATTTGGTGTTTACAACTTTGAAGAGATTTTAATGTACTTTATGAATATGTAAACTTTAATTATTAAAAATTGAGTTAATTATCCGTAAAGAGGATTGACTTTTATTATTGGTTGATCAAAAAATGTAGACTTTGCAAAACAAATTGAGACGGATGGAGTACAAGCCAAAAAAATTGGTGGCATTTTTGTAATTTAAGCGAAAAATCTCGACTTCTATTAAATGAGGAATAGTTTACTTTTAATGAGCATCTGACGGTATGACATATTTTATTGAGTATTAGGAGACTAACAATGAGTATCATGATCTTTGTCTCATATCTTCTAATTCTTTTTCTTTTTCTTATTTTTTCTTTTATAAAAACTTATTAAAGTATATCTATAATTCACGCCTATTAACTTCAATATGCGAGTCTAATGTAATGTGATACTTTAAATATGCATTGATATGACATTTAAAATATGAGCATAACATCACTACCAAATGAGCATACATAACTTACAAAGTGCACATTGATATGAAAATTGTAAGGTTTGTTAGTTGAGCATCACGACATTTTAATTGAGCATCAAACATCCGTTATTTAGATGAAAATCACGATTTCTGGTGAATGAGCATTAATGAACGTCTAATGGGCATCACACCTATTACGTTGAGTATTACGAGTCTAATATTGAGCATCGCGATATCTGTTTCAAAACTTCTAATTAACTTTCTTTTTGTTATTTTTTCTTTGGGAAAAGTAAGGAAAAAGTACTTGTGGTTGGACTCGTTTTAAGATAGGATCATGTGTTTCATTTTTATCAAAGTGGTTCATATGTTTGAATTTCGTTATCACAAGAGGGTCACGCCGTTAAAAACGTCTGAAAAAACCGTTAAAAGTAACTCTGATTTTCAAAAGTGCCCGAAAAAATAAAAGAAAAATACCGGAAGGTGCACCTCCACAAGACGACCACTAGGCCATCTTTCTTTTTTATTTTCAGCCACCCTTGTCACCGGAAAGTCCACTGGAAAAGTGATATTAGCGAAATCATTTTTAAAAAATAATTCAAACAGATCTAAAAAAATCCAAAGGAGAAGGTGGTTTGGAGGTCATCTTGACGAGGCGCACCTTTCGATATTTTTCTTTTAATTTTCCGGGTGTAACACCGTCCCCAAATGTAATTACTTTTAAGAGTATAATGTATTGAACCTCATGGAATGGTTAATGAAAATACGAAGTGGTGAATTTTTAATACTTCTTTTGCGTGAATAATAAATTCGCACGTGGGACCCACACCGGGAGCGGGGCCGCCCGAAATCCCCGAAACCATATATTTTATTTATCTTGGTCAAGATAATATTTATATAGTGGTGGCTATTTCATTTGGACCATGGAAAGGTCCAGAGTTGACCGATCGGTCAAAAGAAGCCCAAATATCGGTATTGACAATTTAACCGATAAAAGCCCGATATTGAATTTCGGGGACTTATAAATTAAAGTTTGGGAATGTATATTCATTATAAAGGTTATAATGATTAAGAACACATAATATATTTTATTTGACCCGATAAAATAAAATATATTTAAAACAGTCCGAAAAATACAACTTTCGGGGCCAATTGTACACTTCTGGACAAAAAGGGTTGACCTCCCACATGAGTGGGGGCCAACCCACGAATTTGGCCATACAAAACCAAGTGGTGGGCGGCTGGATTGGAAAGGAGGAGGTGGGAGGTGTTGGGGTTGAATAGATGGGCATCAAAGGTACATTAGATGGCCCCCATCCTTACTCATTGGATCAAAGAGACAAAAACCAACCCTCACCCACTCTCTCCCTCACTTCCTGCGGCCAGCACCCTCCAAGCAAGAGCAAAGAATCCTCCATCATTCTCCTCCATTGTTGAAGAGAGCTTTACAAGAAAGAATACCAAGAAAAGGAGCTAAAGTGCTAAAAGTGTGAAAGGATTAAGGTAATAACCTTATCAAAACTTTCCTTTATTTTTCTTCTATCATATGAGATATATATCATATGAAGAACCTTGAGAGTTGTTCTACATGATTTAAGTGTAGAATAATGGGTGGGAGAGTGGTTCTAAGTCCAAGAACGGATTTAGAAGCCAAACCGACAAGTTCCCCGGAAAATGACCTTTTAAGGGTTATGGGTATTGATTAAGGTTTTATGATGTTAAAACCTTGTTAGGAACTTGATATAAAGTATCTTTGAGCTTCGCCGGAGTTTCGCCGGAGTTGGTCAAAGTTGGCCGGAGTTGGTCAAAGTTCACCGGAATTAGTCAAAGTTCAACCGCGGAGCGTAGAACACGCTTAAGCTCACTTAAGGTGAGGATGACCGACTATATTGCTTATAATTATTGGGTTAATTTCATAAGATTACCTAAATGAATTATATGTGTTTGGCATGATTTATTTTTAATAAAAATGCCTAAATGAGATTATTATTGTTTATAAGCAAATAAAAGGCATGATATACAAATTTATGAATAAATTGTGTATGATTATGTGTTATGAATACAATGGTATAGTAGTTGTGTAAACTATAAATTAAATTGTGAAAAATATACTTTTACCTCATGTAAGGAAGCCATGGAAGGATAAAAGTGATATTTTGATATTAAAGCCAAGTTATACTTGAATGTGGAATTAAATTGAAATATTCAAATTATTATGAATATGCATTGGGTTATTAAGATTAAATGACTAGTATAGGATACTAGTCGGGAATGTTAGTTCAATAGTTTTTGGGAGCCAATCCCAAGACTTTGGAGTTGAGTAACCTTAAAAGATATGTTTAAGGTGGACTTTGTGAACTCAAGTTACTTTTGGAGTAAGCCTTAAGGGTTACTCGAAATGGATGGAACCTAGACTAAGAAGTGGTTTAGGGATTAGTGACGTGACTATGAGCCGAGCTCTAGCACGTGGTAGTATGACTATGAGCCGAGCTCTAGCAAACGTAGGGTGACTATGAGCCGAGCTCTAGCACAAATTAGTATGACTATGAGCCGAGCTCTAGCAAACGTAGGGTGACTATGAGCCGAGCTCTAGCACAATTTAGTATGACTATGAGCCGAGCTCTAGCAAAAGTAGGGTGACTATGAGCCGAGCTCTAGCACAAATTGATATGACTACGAGCCGAGCTCTAGCATGGAGAACATGAGTTAATTATAAATGAGTAACATCTTGGGTTGAGGGTCTTGGAAATTGAAACTTTGATTATACTTAGTATAGTTGTCATTGTACTTGTCAAATGCTTCCAAGTACTGACCTCCCCTTCACGGGGGAGGCCACCTCACAGTTTCAGGTAGGGAGTAGAGCTTGCTACTACCGCCCGTTGCTTCGGGGAATTCAAGGAGGAAGGCGTGGTTCGTGCTTCTTCTGTTTCCGTTTGAAAACAATTTAAATAATGCTCATGGATATTATTTCGAATATTTATTTGGGGGCTTGTATGCCAGTGGTTGCCACGTGTGGTTTGAATTTTTGTAATTATGTTTCCGCTGCTTAACTAAATATTTTACGTTATGATTGTTTATGGATGTACTATGTGTGAATGGTATTCAAGACGCCTAGTATAGTATGGATGAGTTGGACTGCGGTTGACTATTCGTACTGTACGGCGGGTTGTTGACGTGTCCGGTAGGTCCGGGGCCTGACAATTTAATTGGTATCAGAGCCTTAGTCCGTAAACTTCATAATGAAGCTTCAAAATCTCTTTTCAAAAATGAATTTGAAAACCATGAGCATAAAAGTTTTTGTACTTATAGAACTTTTGATACTTGAGTTGCAAAGTCTCTAATTGTTAAGATGGTACCCTTAACAATTGGTATGGCGGTGATTTGAGCCAAAGGATGTCTTTAAGTACCTATCCGTCACTTGACATTGATACGAGTCTAATGACTCATTCTACTTCCTTTCAGAAATGGAGCCAACCGGAAGGGTCACTAGGAGGAACCCGACGGGCCGTGTACCGGATGGATCCGAGCGCGGTAGCCGGGGGTCCACTAGGGGATCAAGAGGAAGGGGCCGTGGAGGCCAACGTCAAACCGTGAGCGATGGCCACGTCGACACGGAGAGTGAGACCTATTGGTCTTATGAGGACTCAACCTACCGACCGGAAACTGAGCCGGTTGAGACCCCTTATGAAGGGGATGATGATGATGTGAGCGACGAGGAGGAAAGTGGCTCCTTGGCTCGGATCGAAGCGCTGCTCCAACAATATCATCGGGAGCGCGAGGAAAGGAGGGAACGCCGAAGGCGCCGTGCAGGGCAACCTTCGGGTGGGGCTCCAAGAGGAAGGAGCTATTGTGATTCAAGAACCCATGTGGAAGCGCATGGGAGTCGAGGCGATGGAGGTCCAACCATAAGGATCTCCAAATACATCAAAGAGGCGAGGGACTTGGGGTGCAAACCGTTCGATGGGACGGGGGACATCTCGGTGGCCGCGCAATGGATCAAGAGGCTGAACGAGGCAGCCCTGGACATGCAACTCACCCCCGATTTCAAACTGAGAATCGCGGTGAGGTTACTTGAAGGGTTGGCATCCAAGTGGTGGGATGGAACCAAGGGCAAGTATGGAGGGAATGTTACTTGGGAGGATTTTCGGCAAGAATTCTTTGCCCAATACTACT